TACGTGAGCTGTGATTGGGGCATTTTTACCGACCCGCGCACTCCGAGTCGGTCCAGCAGCCCCAGCCTCCACTCACATGCTATCCCACCTGCTCGCCGTCGGGCGTCGTTGTCTTTTCTCTTCGCGACAGTCTCCCTTCTCTCCCATCTACTTCCCCCTTCTCCACTCCCCTTTCCACAACCCCTCGTCCCCCGGGGATGACGGAGTGTGGTGCTCACTCGGAGTGTAGCCCCCCTCCCCCTCCCCCTGTCGCGGCGTCCCCGGGGCGCCTCACTCTCCCACTGACTGATGGCCCCCGACGCGCACTCCGCGCTGCGGCAGCAGAAACATTATTACGGCAGCAGCGGGATGCTGTGAATTTTATTTTCTCTCGATTTAAAAAATGAAGCTACGCACCAGAAGGCTCGTCGAAAAAACAATAACGAAATAACCAGTGGACATTTTTGGCACCATGCGCCCTCTAGCGTGTACGTACGCAAAGGCAACCCGTTTGCACGTTTGCGTGCAGAACTAGGGTTTTTAAAACGCGAAATTTTTCCGGAAAATTATTTGGAAAATTGGTTTTCAGCCATAATTGTTAAAAAGTTAAACGTTTCAGGAAACATTTTAGACATTTGCAAATTATTTTTTGACAAGTTTGCCCCAAATTTCTCTTTTTGAAAATTCAAATCCCTATTGCTGTACAGTATGACCCATGAAGTCCCCTGCGGTCAGTTTATTGTCGAGTTTGTCGTCGACCTGGCGTTGCCGGCCTTACCGTTGTGGTGTGCCACGCCGAGGTCCTTGAGGACGAGCGCGGCCATGTCGGCCTTCTGCCGGAGCGAGTCGTAGCGGCGGGCGTCCACGGCGGCGGACAGCGAGCGGAAGTGCTGGTCGGCGAGGCACAGCGTGCCGAGGCTGCCGGTGGACACGTCGTGCACCACCTGCAGGGCGTCCTCGCTATCCTGCAACAGCCAGTCGCGCGAACGCAAGTGTGTGAATGTCGGACACTCGTAGGTGTGTCGAATCCCCATTTGCACACTCAAGGGTGTGAATTTCGCTTTGAAATTCACACACTTTGAGCCTCCATGTGTAAGTACCGGGTGATTCAGAGCACGCGCCGCTGTGTTGCGGGTTTGCCTATCCTCGACTCGGCGGGCGCATGGGTAAGAGGTGAGGAGGTGAGGAGTCCCCTCCTCACCTCTCATCCGTGCGCCCGGTGAGTCGAGGATAGGCAAACCCGCAACACGGCGGCGCGTGCTCCGAATCACCCGGTACGAATGGCGTCCACACATCTACGAGCGTGCGATATTTTCACACTTGCGTTTTCGGTGTTTCAAATAAGGCGCCAATATTTTCATATTTTTATTTTTTTTTGTGTGGTGGGGGGCAGCAATAGTCAGCAGCCGAGGGCCAAGAGACTAGCAACGTTAGAATTAAAAGCTAGGTTACAGCCAGGGAGAACGTTTGACAGGTTAGATCTACTGTTTGGCGAGACTATATAGTACAGCCTCCATCGAGGCCGGGGTGTTTGTTTGCACAGCCCCATGTGACGTCTGTTTTCACTCCCAAAGTTCCATGTTTATGAGTGCCTCGCTGCTCGCTCCCCGGCCCGGCCCCCAGTGCAATTAGTGCACGAGGCGTGTGCAGCGGCGGCGGCGGAACTCGGGCGGCAGGACGCCGCCGCCGTTGCGAAAACGGTCGGGCGAAAGAACCGTGGAGTGAGGGAGGGGGTGAGGCAGCAGCAGACGACCCTAGACCACGACCGACGGTGACTTTTCGAGTTCTGCTGCTGCCGCCGCCGCCGCCGCCCCCGCGCTACGCTACGCCACGCCTCTCAGGGCTCATTGTGCGTGGCGGGGCGTTCCGCCTCGTTTGGGCCGCCAGCACTGCCACCCCGCCAAAGGGACGACCTCGTCGTCGTCCGCGAACAATAACGAAGCGGAGGGATTTGTTTGGTCAATTTGAAAGTCGCGCTGATTTTCGCTGCGCGGCGCGGATGGAGGAGGAAGCCCCGCGGGCGCCGCCGCGCGCCTTCAGTCTCACCGGTAATGTATGGGCGGCCCAGAACAAAGCGATCCGAAGGGAACTCCGCCCCGCCTTGCTGCTGCTGCTGCTGCTGCTGCAGCTGCTGCTGCTGCTGCTGCTGCTGCTGCTGCTGCTGCTGCTGCCGCCCGCCCACTAACTTGGGGCGCGCCCGCTGCTGCCCGGGCAGCGGCAACGCTACGCCACGACCGCCTATTTCTTTCTACGGTGAAGGGGGAAGAAAAAAATAAAAGCAACACAAACTTTGCACGAAAACTTGCAGCGGCAGAAGTACAGCGTGGTGGAATGGGTGAGGGTGACAAGGGCAAGAGGAGAGTAACGAGTGCGGGTGGGGGGAGCGGGAGGGGTGTCTTGGACGGGGCAGACAGCCACCCTCACCCCTTCCACGGGGACGGGACGGGGGCGGAAGCGCGTACTTGTATAACTGTATCGGTTAGTTCCGGCCGCCACCTCCGGAGTCGTGTCGCGCGCGCCACCCACGCCCGAGCCGGACACGATTTTAATTTTTCACGAGCCGAAGAAAAGGAAGAGCTCGACGGCGGCTCACGGCACGGTGGACGTTAGTTAGGCCGTTGCCATCGTTTCCGAAACCAGTCAGTGGGGGGAGAGGCTGACTTATTTAGACGGGAAACGGGCCGAACCCTGCTCGCTCTGCTGCTGCCATGACAAAGAACTAAGGGGGAGACGCAACCGAGGCAACGATTGGAAATTTTTCAGTGACGACTTTCAAAATTTGACTAGCACTGACTGACGAACCAAGTGTTTCTTTCAGTCGATTTCCACCCGTTCCACCTTTCTTTTGTCCAAGTTTATCAAACACCACTGAAAACTTTGTGCCTTGGGTGATCGATCAAATTGGACAAGTCATAGTCAAGCTAACTCGTGAGAATTCTACGTTTATTTTGCCAGTAAAGTGTCTATGGCAAATATGCTAGGGTAAGATGCCCAGTGATGGACACCCCTTCCTCTAGGAATGTAAAGAACGGAGTGAGGTATTTTGGCTCATTATACCCCGGTAGGGGTCTTACTAGTAAATTAGTTCCGTGCCAAGATCGTAAAGTGACGAGTTTGGCTGCAAATCGAGAAAAGTGGCCATCACTGGTATAGTGTCCGTCACGGGGCACCTTCACCCTATCTTTTCTATCACATCTTTTACGTGTCGTGCGTGGATGACTTACCTTTCTCGTCGAAGCGTCGAGCGCGCCCGCAGCGGGCATGAGCTGCAGCAGCACCGCCCCCACCACCACCCACGGCACCCTCCCCGGCCCCATGGCGCCTCATGGCCTCATTGGCCTGGCCTGCGCGAACACAACACGGCGTTAGCGAAAAACGGGCAGATAAATGCATTACGTGTACCACCGGTCGTTTTCCATCTGCATGCGCTCCAAGTGTTGCGGGTTGCGGGATTACATTACCCCGCTAGGGCCGCAGGGGTCCTGGGGGTAGGCGAACCCGCAACACTGGTAGAGCGCATTAAATAAAAGAAAACGGAAAAAAGAAGCACCCGCTTTATACTAAGTGGAAAACTGTGATAAATTTCTCTGGAAATTTCCCGAAACTTAAGTTTTGAGTTGTTATTATAGACCTTTGAATTGCAAATAATTTGGACAGTGTAGGCCACTAATTTAATTCGTCCTCTCTCTCACCTCACGTGTTGCCGCAGTGCGGGGGCGTGCTGGGCTGCGCCATGGCTGAGCGGGCGGGGCGCGCTGCTACAGGTCTTCGGGCGGGGTGGGGCCGGGCGGGGTGGGGCGGGGCGGGGGCCGAGCCCTTAGCTCTCCGGGCGTGGGCCCGCCTGCAACAACAGAAGACACACACCGTTAGACACACATGCAGTGGTTCGCCAAAACCCTTTCTCGCGTCGTGACAAAAGCGGCCCCCCAACCCTCGACCTTCTCTTTTCCTTTTCTCTCCTCCGCGCCGTTTTATTTTCTTTCATTTTGGCCGAAGTTAAAGGAGAGAGAAAAGGCTTGGCCGTCCGGCCCGTTGGTCCGTCCGGCACGCGGTCGGCCCTTTAATGATGCTTCTAATCAGAGCGACCATTCAGCCCCACTCTGACCCGCCCCGCCCGGCCACCTTGCTCGCGGTAGAATCGATTCTCGCCCTCGCCCTTTCCCCGAGTACCATAGCGGCCCCAGCGGCCCTCGGGGCGCGGCGGGCGAAAAGCACTCATCAGCCGCGTGGTCCCCGTGGTCCACGGTAAGGAGGCTGCGGGCTGACTGCGCTCTCACGACCTCTGGGACGTGACGAAACGGCAGCGGCGTTTATTCGCTGGGGGCACCCGTGCGGCGCGTAAAGGAGCTCAGGAGGGGTGGCGGACGCGCGGCTTGTTTTGCTTTTCTTGGGGAAGCAACGCGGCTTATTAGGGTGATGAAAAAGACAAACCCAAAAGTTGCGCGCGCGGTCGTCAGACGCGGGCGTATTAACGCCTCCTACCACCCTTTCGCGGTGGAAGCAGCCCTTCTGCACCCCTTAAACTGTGAAACATGTCTCTGGAATGTTATACAACCTCGGTTACAACCTTTTTCGATTTTATGAACCATTACTTTTTGTTTTTGTTCGCGAGAGTGGCGGGAGCCAACTTGTCTGTCGGCCAAAATTTTGTGATATACCTGGCTGGGAATATTTTACAACGTTTGGTTGCAGTTTTGCTGATGGCACCTGTGTACGCAGTAGTTTTGTTTTGGAGACAATCGGCGTACTCCTCTGTGTGCGCGTAGCAGTGCCACCATTGTGCACGTCGGAATTGATGCTGTTGTTCTGGTCCTTGTTGCGCAACTTTGGCCCCATACCAGAGACTAGGGGAATTGAGGGCATCTCTTTTATCGTGGAGTTTTCCACTGTTGAAAACATCTTTGTTAATTTAAAATATTAGTTTTTTATTGTAGTTTACGATTTACAAAACGATGTTGTAAATTTACGACAAACCATCTGTGCTTATGGAAGAATTCAAAAGCGATACGTAGAAATTTACTATTTAGAAATTTACAATTTTAAATCAAAACTTAACTCACCTCTAGAAATTGATACCGTATATACTACCTATACACATATTTTTGCCTGTGACTACTTTCGCCGGGGGGCCATAGCAGCGGGGTGCGCCGCCCCGATAGACAAAGAGTCTCCCGCCCCCGTCCGTTGTTGGGACGATGATGGGACCAAGTACCAAAGTACTCGACACAATGCTGCCCCCCTGACACGGGGCACTGCTGGCCCGGGGCGGCCAGCCCTCAGGGCGCGCGGGCTGGCCGCTCTCGGGCCCAGCGGGCACCCAGCACTATACAACGACCTCTCGTCGCCCGACCCGCCCGCCCTGGGGACAAGAGCAAGCCGAGCTATGTGGTGGCCGCTTGTCAGCAGACGGTCTATGTTGTTGAATGCACCCGCCATAGCTCGTAAAGGCTTTGGAGACCGGGTTGCCCTTTTCCCTTTTGGCTAAAAACGGTAGTTGCAAGGGAGTCATTTAACTTTTTATAAGAACCCTCTAGCAGCTCGCTCGTGTTCCCTTTCTCTTTTGAAAATTTGCATATTTGCGGCTGGCGCTCAATTTTACACTGCGCCTCCCCATCCCCTCAGTGTCGACTCATGGCGTGCTCATTACTCCGTACGGCGCCTGCCTCCGCAGTCGCTTTGAATCAACCCTTTGAGTCCGGTTGCGCAGCATTGATCGAGAGCTGCAGGGTTGACAGACGGCATCAATGGATTCCAGCTAGCTGTTTACCACCACGACTATGGTTTCCACTTCCACTGCGACTGCGACTCTGTCAAAACCCCCATGAGCTCTAATGTCCCTGTCTCTATCTGGGGTTTTTCAATTCCAAACCCCAGGGTTGCCTCCGTTATATATCTTCCTCGTGAAATTTTTTATTGCGAAGATGACTTGTCTCCACTACGTCTCTTCTTTACGAAGGGCCTCTCAACCCAGGCAATCTACGTTATCATGTACGCCAATTTTCGAAATGGGGATCCAATAGTAATGCTTATATCCTACATAAATGGTGTAAGTAGTGTGCCTTTTGTCTACTCACAGGCGTTTTATGTCGAAAAGTCCAAGCATTATTCATTTAGTAATCCGACGATGTCCGCGCAATCTGGTGTACACTCTAAAAGTGAGACCCCTTTGGGTCTTTACGATGACTGCTCCCAGCGGTTCCTTCGACGGTGGCCCCGATGCCCTGTACACTCCTCGACGGTACCTGCTCCCGCAGGGCCGCTCCCGCCCGCCCTCACCCACCCCCTCTACGTTTATTTTGCCAGTAAAGTGTCTATGGCAAATATGCTAGGGTAAGATGCCCAGTGATGGACACCCCTTCCTCTAGGAATGTAAAGAACGGAGTGAGGTATT